TTCTTTCGGTTACATCACTGTTGTAGAAGCATTTAATAAAACAAGCATAATATTGCATTCTGCGAAACCTGTTCTATCGAAAGGCTACTGATAATATAAGAAAAAGTTTTGTCCAGCGAAATGGAAGCGATAGAAAAAGAGCAATCGGTGCGTGTGAGATACAATCTTATTATTACAGCGTTTTGGAATTTCTTTTCCAAAAACCGGCCACGTAGCCCAGTAGCTAAAGAATTAAATTTCGAACAATCACTGACACTCTTATGAAAAGTTCTTTTTGCGAAAGTGTTCGAATACTCATCAACATTATTGGATATACGATCTCTTCAAATGAGCGTAGAGCTTACGCTTGAAATGCACGATTGGTTACCATCAAACTGGAGAGTACTCAGTGATTTATAGAAAAGTGAAAGTTTACTGTGGAGCTTTTCCAACATTACTCAAAATACCATTTCAGTCAGTAGCTATATTTCAGCCCGACCAGTTGAGATTACTTCTTGTCATTAACACTGAAGAGCTTCTATGGGCCCTCGTTTAATAGGTTGGGAAAAAAGTTCAAGAAAATTGTTGTAAAACTTTTATTCATGCACCTGCTACACCTAAAAAGGCAAAGCTAATAATCAAGGTACTCTGCTTCAACTTCAGGCACTTACTGCCACTTCTCCGGAGAAGCGTCTATTCTGGAAGAATAAAATTCCGATTTTTTGCTGTTGAAGAAATGAATGGCCGAATTGTGCAATCCAATATCGGTGCCAAACTTTTTGTCGCTCAAGCAGTGCTTCACTGTGCGAAACAAATGATAGTTGCCATGAGTTAAATCCAAATTGTGTGGAAGGTGTTCATGAACGGTCTAACCAGCATGGCTCAATCATTTCTTTGTCATATGATAAAAATACCAGCCAGACCGACAGACGACGGGTTCTGCCGGCTGATGAGTCTGTAAGGGCGAAACACGTGTCTCGGGCTGTACAAGAGCCCTTACCAGACCACTTGACATGTTGGCTCAAATAATAATGAAAGGATCTATTGAAATTTGAGCGTGATCTTAATGAAGCACTCGAAGGAAAGGTATAATATTTCTTCATCAGTTTTGTAGTGTGAGGCCAGATTGATGCGATCACATGCCACCGCTGCATTCAAACCCAACAGCTATTTGTGCATCACCAATAATCTAATTTGCTCGCTTGTTAACTCCATCTTGAAGCTAGTAGATAAATTATACACCAATCAACGCGGGAAAGCACGGGCCTCCAAAGAGCACGAAAACACAAAAAATAGCCGGCACCTAAAAAAGTTACAAGCATTCTCTCAAAACTTTTTTCCCAGCCTATCAGTACCTGATGTTGTATATACCTAAGAAATTTGAGTGGTGAGCAAAAACTTGGCCTCAGACGGAAATCGAACCACAGTTTCAGCCATACCAGGGGCGCGTACTTTACCATTACACCACCGAGGCACATTTGCATCACCACTTATTCCTCAACATCTCTATGTTAGCTATCAGCTACCAACCGTCGGGAATGCGATTTCGCTTTATAGACTTATTTGAGCTAACAGCCATTGTTATAATTAGTACTCGAAATTTCATGTATTTTAACTGCATTTTTCGCAGTGTTATGTATATACCTAAGAGAAACGAAATCGTGAACCCGACTAAACCTGTTGTAGGTTGTAACATAGAGATGTTGAAGGTATATACAAAACATCATAACACTGCAGAAATGCAGTTAAAATACTAGAAATTTCGAGTAGTGCTCAATGCTGTGATCATCGTCAAACATATTGGAGGAAGCACAAAAATCTCGCTACAATGCTGTAAAGGTATCAGGAGGAAAATTTGTTGGCAATTCTATCAGATCTGCACAACGTTACCCACAATAGCCTTCGCAACCGCTGTAGAGCAGGATATCAGATGTCGTCTGTAGACATACTACGATGAGTTACTGGTGTTTACCTAGAGAGACTGTGAAGATTACAGCAGAATGAGAAAATAAATATTTACCGCCTATAAGTTCTTCAATTTCGTGTTATCTTTTTGCAGCTAGAGCTGAGAAATCGGCTGATTGATGCATGATTTAAGCCTTGGGTAGAGTCTGGGGGTAGAGCATTTTGCGCCTAATTTTCACAGAGAGGTCTAACTTATTCATTGTAGCATTATGTGGTGATATCAAAAATGTTACTGGCACACGAATGGGATTCATGAAGTCAGTATATGCTGGCTCTTTATGGTTTCTGAAGGCAGTTGATAACAGCCCCCCAACTTTTCCGTGGTCATAAAATCACAGAGTTGCAGCCAAAAATTGTTCACCTTGGTTGGTTTGCTTTTT